AAGGGACCAATCATTTCAGCTTGCAAGCCTAACGATACGACAAAATGCACTGCATTGAACGTACGCGTATATTCTGCTGTATACAAAATTTCATTTTCTACCTAGCTCCCCAAGCCGCTATTGGAAACTTGCGTGGAACCGGGCATCACGTATGGCGATGCTATTGCAAGATTGCTTTACCTTCGAGAGCCGAAACCCCAGAACTATAGTCCCCATTTCACGAGAATGACAGAACAGGAAAGTCGATTGCTATTTCCGGTTTCGATCAACCGTAAACTAAATGAGCAGCAAACACGGACAAGTCAGCCAAAGGCCTACTTATGTCCGCATATTTGTTCCACTTGTCCAGCCTAAACACAGTGACTTGCACTGTGTCTAGAGCCAGACGGCGGTTTTGTTCTACGACGAGCCGGCTACGGTACGGATACTTGAAACGTCCGGCCGTATAGACTCAACTTAGGTTCATCGTTGTGGGTAGAGTGAGATGTGAAGCTTTCAAAAACTAGGAGACTTGTACTGAGTCTACGCGCTAGTCGATGGCCCTGCTCGCCCCATTTAGACAACCGCTAGGAAACACATCACCTGCTGGATAATTGCTAGGAACGAGGTTTTCGCATTCCGATCGGAGAAATGAAGAGTACCTATGTAGTAGTCAGCGACGTACTCTCAAAGGTTCTTGAGGATTGTCCCAAACGCATTCCTCAATACCCAGGCGGCCCCCTTGGAACCATTTTCCTTGTTTCTTGCCCATAACGATAGCCGAAGACTAGATTGCCAATGTCCTTCGTACAATAGTAAGTGGTGCCTTGGCTCATCACTGGCAGGATGCCGGCTGCTGATTGGACTGAAAGCTTCTCTCGTTAAGTTGACGGATCTGGATGCAAAAGTGTTAACTAGATTCATGCACCAGCTGACTGTGATCAAGGCCATGCACATTCATTCCCTCATACATTTTGACGTGACAGGGTTGTCGACATAACGTGTTCGGTAAATCGATAGTATGTTGATGTAATCATCAGGGAAAATGGAAGCAAGAGACATTGAAGATGCACTTACTTCTCAGTCATACGAAGAATCCACCCAATAGATCGCCGCGATGATTGAGATTCTACGGTCGTTGTTTCCAAGGATGACTCTTACTCTATGCCATTCACACTAAAGGTAGCCGATACAGCAGACGGCCCGATTCCTATGCCACCCATAGGCTGGACGAGGAGACGTTAGCTCGGGTTTTAGAAGAGGAAGTCAGTAATGGGAGGCTCTTCCATCCTTAGGAGGCGGCTCTCACAGTCCGCAGCCTGAATCGTTCCGCTATCGCCTTACGATGCCGCCCATCTTTCCCCTGGAGATCATGTTAGCTGAGTTCAAAATCCTATGGGTACGTAAAAGTGGTCTGATGGAGTTCCTCATATCGGCAAAATGTTTGTCCTCAGGAGTTAAGACCATGCATAATTGAAAAGCACGATCACTCGGACTAATAAATATAGAATCACAGGAAACGTCAAAGCAGCGAGGGAATGGAGCTGAAACTTACTTTTCCGCTCTGATTCCCCGCGGGCCGGTGTCGTTGAGGGCTCGCCGCGACATGGGAAAATCGATGTCCGTCAGCCTCATCATAATCCTGCGCAAGATATCGCCGAAGCGCTCGACGAAGTTCCTGCAAATTCGCGGTCCTATCATCATGTTGGGGTCAGCTTGATTCAGAAAGAGGTGTTTGCCAAAATGAACGAAAAAGAGCAATCAGACGGTATAGGGGATGGTTCTCAACATAGAAGATTCTGTATCAAACTGTGTGTTGTTTTCGTGGTGTCATCATTAGAAGCAAGAAAAGAACAAAAAAAAAAGGAGCTGACCTTTTGATACCGTAGCTTTGCTTCCCATAAAACGCTTAACAAAAAGATCTGCGCTCGACGTTATCACTTCGCGGTCCTGGATTGATGAACAAAACTCAGCTTGGCCTCAAACGGCATCAGAAAGCCACCGAACAGTCGTTCTCTTTGTTCTATGAGGAAGTCTCAACATGGGATCTTTCGAGAGCGCGGTCCCTGCAACTATCATGGTACCTACAGCCGGAATGTCAGTTGCCCAGACTCCATGCAGCTTAAAGCAGAAAGGGGTTTAACATGCCTCATTACATGGTTCGGATATAATCCGTTCCGACACTTTGGGAAAAGGTGCCAAAAAGACCGAATATCATCATTAGCGGCGCACAAAGCCTCTAGGAGAGCCATACCGTAGTTTGAGAAGTCCAGCTCCGCCAAAAAGACCAATGATCCAAGGCATCTCCGTGGGATGTGGTATAATATCTCTTTCTCTTTGGAGATCGTTGCCCTTCTTGGGAAGGAGTTCTGATAAATCTAACGTGACCCTAGATTGATCATGAGATGTCCGCTTGGTATATCAGAGATATGAGTGCCAAAATGGAATGCGGGATCTTCTTCATAGTAAGTAGGCTTTTGATCTCACCAAGAGTATTTCTGTTCGCGCAAACCTTTTGTAATCATAAAGAGAGAGAGAAAATGGAAGAGAAAATGCTGATCTTACATCTTCGAACCGGAAAGCGATAAAATGTCGCTGTGAAAGAGGATCCGCTATCTGAATTGGAGATGATGTCAGCCGAATTCAAAATTTTTCCAAAATTCAAAACGAAGGATCGTGCTAGATCAGAATTTGTCTGTACTGTCTTCAGTGGGAGCACAGCAACTATAGACCTCGGTCTCATAGCTGATAGCCATGTCCCTTAGAAGGTTATGTTGGTGCAGGTTTTTTAATCATTCCTAACCATAAACGCACTCGCGAAGCAAACTAGGTTCTTACCATGGTAAATCCGGCCTCTCAAGTTTATCTTCGTCGGGCAGTGGCCACGGCTACGAAAAAAATGGATTCTCTCGTATTGCTGGTAAGTACAGCGCAGTGTACTTTTGCTCAAGTCTTTTGCCGATGGCGGTAGAAGCTTCACAGTTCCAGCCTGTTCAAGGAACGTCAGCTTGATTCATGCTGATATGGCAGAGCAAACGCAATGAGGCCTTTCTCTCAGACTTATCCAGGGACAGTATCAACAGAAAGTCTCAGCTATAACTGGCGAATGTTAGCACGATATTGGATATCATAAGAAACCAAAAGATAGAGAAAAGAAATAAGGGAGCTGACCTTTTCGCTGCCTTTGGACTTTAACGATAGAAGACTATGGTTAGACTCAATCTGAGGTCGTTGTCGATGCTTAGGATATGCGCTTCGCCTCGAGGAAAGAGACTCCGGTGGCGGTGGCCTGCCTGGTCGTCTCGTCTTCGTCCGCCGACATGAGGGATGGTTAGCAGACGAGCGGGGGCAAGTCCGAGCTAGGAAACTTACGGGGCCTAATCACTGTATTGGGGTTGCCCCGTCCCGAGCCACCAAGATGTTACTTCCAGAGACGACGCATGCAACGAAAAGCTCTGTGTGAGGTGTAATCGATCGGCAATGAGAAGGATTGGCCGGAAGGCCTCGATCCAGCTGGGTCGGGTACGATGAGGACGAGAAGGAGGAGCTGTCAAGCTTGACGGTGGCAAGGTGCGAGTGGGAGCTGTCTATTAGCTCCGAGCGCTGGTCCATTGATGTTAGTGTTGGCTAGCGTCTGGTTGGAGAGGACTCGAGATGCTTAGCCACCAAGAGAGAGAGAGGTGGAGGTGGCCGAAGATGGAGGTGAAGCTCCGAGCTGTAGGAATTTGATGTGTAGCAGTGGCTACCGTCGAGTTTGTCTTCGTCGCTGCAGGTACTCAGCCTTCATTCGTTCCGACACCTGTGGCGGTACGCAAGCACAAGTCAGCGCAGTCCAACGAGGTAATGTGTACGTAGATGAAGTAAAGCTGGGTCTTGCTCATATGATGCAAGTGTTAATCTCATCAGATTCAAAGCCGATCGAACTGCCGGAATGCAGTTGGTCGTACTAAGACCTTGGAGTAACATTTGTAATCATCGCAATGGAGAGAAAAGAGTAACAGTAAAGAAGACCTACCACAACATCGAAGTTACCCGGTCCTGACCCACCTACCGTAGTAGCCAGGACCCTGGATTATGAACCAAGATGCCCAACCCCGAGGCACTGACATACGTCCTCCCGATAACGATAAATGGCGCAGAAGTATCTGTGTGCGGTGTCCTAGTTCGGTAATGAGAAGGATTGGCTGGATGGCATCGACTTGGCTGTGCTGGGTGCGATGAGAGATAGAAGAAGTGGCTATCAAGCTTGATGTTCGCATAGTGTGGGTGGGCGCTGCTTACCTTGCTACGTGTCTTGGTCCATTCATACTGGAGCATGTTGGTGACTCGGTGGGGAGAACTCGTGATGCTTCGTCACAAAACCATGAAGAGACGGAGAGGGCCGAGGACAGCGGAGTGGCGACTCTCGCTCATTTTACCGACCGGCGAAGTCGAACCCGTGGCTCAAGTCAGGAGTGGAAACCATCCGAGTTGCGGCGGTGAAGCGGTTTTCTGCTCGGGGGCTGGGAGGTGCGAGAGTACTTAACTTGCCGTTGCCCGAGTGACTGTCGTCCTCAAACCCTCGACCGAACAACAACCTCACCCGACTGCTTCCACTCTCCTGCTTCCACCCTCCGAGTTGGCTCATCAATCTCGTAGCACCCGAATATAGGTAAGGTGGTCTGTTCACCTAGATCCTCGCTTCTGCTAACCTACCAGTAGCCGTTCTTTGTCTTTGTTTTACGCCGAGACATCGACTGAAGTTTCTTTGTTGTCTTGCACCAATGAGCCACCTCGCTGTCTGGAACATGTTTTACGACGCTGTCGCCCGTGGACAGGTCTCCACTGCAGACCGCTTCTTCGAGTGGTTTACCGGACTCTCGTCTGAGGAGCTTGAACTGCTCTTCAGCATCCATCGGGAGGACATGCCCAACCGACCAGGAGGTATGCAGTACATCCTGGACGCTCCTCAAGTTCCCGACCCGGTCACTGCCCGCGCAACCCTGCCAGCGCCCATCCCGCCGCCGATGATCCCAGGCTACAAGCCTAGGAAGGCGTTGAACGCCTACATCGCCAGCCGAAGTGAGTTTCCTTATGTCGCACTGTTGAGACATCCACTAACAATAACAGCCTGGTTTTTACGCTGCCCTGAGCTCGCTCATCTGCAGATGAAGACTGCTTCCGGACTCATCGCGGTTCTGTGGATGGAGAGCTTCGAGCGCGCTTTGTGGGCTCTCATTGCGAATGCTTGGTCCGAGCTGCGCGACAAGTATGGCAAGGACGCAGTTCCGCTAAAAGGCTTCCTGACAATTGCGTGCCCTCTCTTGGGAATCACATCGCCGGACAAATATTTCGCTAAGTTTGGATGGTCGCTCGTCTACGATCCCGAGGGCAAACCCATGCTCGCACGGACGAGCGTCCCCACTCGCGAGTCTTTCGGCCCGAAGGCTTTCACAACAACATACTCTGCGAAAGACTTAGTCAAACACTGTCACGACATCGGGTTCGTCCCAGACCTCATCGCACCCAGAAATCAGAAGCGCGCAGCTACACCTCGCCAAGAGTTCACCATGGTAGCCCAATCCAATGAGACGATGGCTACACCTGGCCAAGAGTTCACCATGGTAGCCCAACCCAATGAGACGATGTCCACTACGACCTCGGACCTGAAGCGGAAAGCCGATGACGATGAGAACACTTCCGATAAGCGACTGAAGACAGGCCTTGAAGTCACTGAGGAAGACCTAGATGCTTTCATAGCATCTCTAAGCCCGGCTACGACTCCCGCTCGCATTGAGGTACCCAAATTGAACCGCCAAATCCGAGCTGAGGCAAACACCCGCGCCGCCTGGGCTGCTCCATACTTCGCTGCCATGTTCGGACCAGACTCTCAGATCATTCCTGCCGATATCGACGATGATCAGGAAGAGCTAGCAGAGATGTTTCCCTGGGACATGACGGACGTGCCCAGCATTGAAGCCAGCGAGCTCGCATGGGATAGCGACGAGGTCTACTGGGACGCTTAAGCAGTGGTAAACCTGATCGTCTTTCCTGTAAGCTCGCTCCAACGTCCAAGAAGCCCACAACAGCCGCTAACAAGACACAGTCTTACGAGCATTACGACAATCGGCTGAACGCTTATGACTATGCAACGGCTGCTCAGACCACTGGGCAAGAGGTGTTCTTGGATCGTAACGACATGAGAGGAACGACAGCGGGTTTGCTGCAGCTTTGGTTATTCAACCACGGTTGCCACGATTCGACTTTTGGCTTTGAGAGACTTCTGCACCTTGTACGGACCACGAGAGAAAACTGCTTTTGCATCTGCTTTTTGCATCACCCATTGGCGGCTAATTGGGAGTCAACGACGACGAGACTCAATTCCCTTTTTCCTTTTGTTCTGTGGTTTTTCTACCCCCAGAGTTGGACTTGCATCGGAGCCGGAAGAGAAGTTCAACGAGCTTTCCGACGATGAATTTCTTTTCTCTCTATCACTGGCGAGCATGCTGGTATTGGACGGGGTGGACGGGCCCTTGGGAGTCTACTCAGGCTTTCCAGACTCGGTATGCGGTTTCCTTTCTTGCAATGGGTCTGTCTTTGGAGGAACGGTTGAAAATCGGCGAGTATCTTGTCTTGATGCTAGGACTGCTAGGGATTCTTTTTGAGTCTCAAGCGGACTTGGATTACTTCAGGACTTGATGAGCTCGACCGGAACGGGGTATTGCGACAAGTAAATAGAAAAGCCAAAAAAAATAATTCCAAAGCCATAGGCTACAGTATACTTAAATCAATGGTCCTTGGATGCAGGCGTGAGATGTGACTCCAGATGCTGAATATGACAACCACAACACACCCCAGGAAGCCAATGCACATGATGAGCATCTACTGCATGATATAGAGAAGCGATGTGCTGAATTTGGCGATGCCAGCCCAAGCTTTGATGGTGTTGTGGTGTTGTCACAGAAGCGGTCGAGACAGCCCTCCCCTCCCGGACCACAACTCAACCACAATAACACAAACAGGTACCCAATAACGCACGAGGAGTTTCCTATAGGTCCATACAACTAGCTCGTATGCGTAGTTCGTCGATAGCTTGTTGATAATGCCGTGGCTGAGCCAACTTCCGGGCGCGGGGAGCCTCGTTTCGGGAACCGTGAAGCGTCGGAGGCTATATTTCCAGCAATTCGCGTCTCCCTCTTACGAAACTTGCTGGGGAGGATCCCATAGGTGTAACCATCCTCAGAGTACACTTCATTAGGCTGTGCGGGCAATAGTGCCAAATCTCGCCCAGGGAACGGGACCAAGGGGCGCCAGGCGTCGACGGCATAGAAAGTAAGTCAAAATTAGCCCAATCCTAGCCATATCGCACACATAGATGCTCCCAGCCACCCATAAGTGTTCTGAATAGGTATCGGTACAGCCAGGCCCTTTGGTCGAAGTATGGCATCCACTCCCTATTCACCCCAGGGGTGTCTCGCGGTGACTAGGGATGCTCGTGCAATTCGAAGTCTCCCGAGCACTCGAGTATTTTTCCAGGCATCCCTGATGCTCCCTCAAGCACCTCCAAGCAAGACTTCCATATGCAACCGGCCAAAATTTGAATGTTTGGTATGATGAGCAATGTTAATCCATACTGATACGCCATACGGCGGTGTTGTCATTTCTACTTCTGACACTAGGAGTTTTCTTTCTTCCGCACTGCCTATTCTTCTGGAAATCTAGCACACTGACGTCTCTCCAAGCAGGTATCGCCGTCAGTGACCGTGACACCAAGTCGACAAGATTTCCTGCGGCTGTAGCATCCACAGCGTCCGTCACGGCAGCGTCCTTAGCCCGGCACGCTGTACGCTCCACGTCATGTAGTAGAGCCGATTCAGACCTCATCGGCCGCCACCTCTTCATATTCGTTCCGTGCTCGGATTCTTGGATCGTCAATAACATGGTAAGTCGACAACGGATGGGTTCGAGAATCGGACTAACACGATGACAGCACCGTAGGCCATGGCAATGCGGTCTGCAGTCAACGATATGTCACCGCTGCGCAGGGCATTCGGAGAAGCTGGCGAACTGCGAGCAATTTGGCGCAGGTGAATGAAGAGGAGACTGCGAGGTGTAGCTGCGCACGGATGTGCTCGAAACTGCCCCTCTTGAGGCGTGACGGGGCCCAATCGATCACGTGCCGCGCAGAAGTCGTATCAGTCTGTGAAGGCGGCTGGCTGAGGTGAGGAGGAATATGAGGGCGGACTTGCAGAAGACGTCATATGCCCTGCGCGCGTGGGGCGTTGATATGGAAACATACCCCGTGGCCCGCCTCATATCTAGTAGCCTCACGTAAAGAGTGTGCATCACGATTAGGATGTGTTCCTTCATCTGGCGCTATCCAACTTTTGGCCATCAGTTCGCCAGTGAGTCTTACAAAGTGGGAAGGACAATTCATCTTCATGGCCATGGTCCAAGAATACAGAGGCTGAGAGATCGAGGGAGGTAGTGGAGAGTTACATAGAGGAAAGCTGCTAAATCAATGAAGTGGGCCTATTGATATTAGTAAACCTGAAGCAAGATCCGGGTCTCGTCGAGTGGTCTTCGCGCTGTGTTGGGCTTTTAGTGGACGTCGTGATGTGGAACTATTCGCAACATTGCTATTTTTCGCGTTCATAGTTCATATTTTTTGTACTTTGACGAGTGGGTAGAACTGTTGAGGTACCCCAGGCCACATAAAGTTTGACTATGGTCTGCTCCCACCCAGTATCCGCATAAATTGACTATGGCTTTGTGATTGCATTGTCAATCCTAGTCTTACCTGAGCCCTAACACTCTGTGCGCTCGAGATTTTGTCCCATTGTTAGCTTTCGTTAGGAACCCCTTTCATTAAATTTTGTGCTTTTCTCCGTCCAGATATCTTCACCAAACATTAGTTGCAGCATGCCTCAAGGGTTACGGTGGCATTTCTCACCACAATCTACCCACACTATTTAAAGTGAAGTCAGAAGTTTATACTATGAGACGACACAATTTTGCACCCCCGCGTGCCTTACCGTGGTGCCTTCTCGATAGACTGCTCACACCCCATTGCCAGCCCTTAGACTGAAAATACAATCGCTGTATCGTCACTATCACAAGCGGGTAGAGGAGAGAGTGGATCCAGATCCTATGGCTTATACATTATTGAGACAAGCACTGACGATCACCATTTATAAGTAGTTATCATTTGGCAAAAATACAACAAACATAAGAAAGAGAAGGGATCTGAATCCAGGACCACGCCATCACCAGAGTACCTCCCGGAAGAACGCTGTGTGCTATCAAGAATGCCACGAGGAACGAAAAGCTCACAAACTCATTAGGCGTTGAAATTTCGGAGCTTCTGGTTCTTCTGTAGAGCCTGCCGAGCCTCAACGAGATTCGCTTGCGCCTCAGCGACCTTCGCTTCCATGCGAGCAATTCGCTCATTGTCGGCTTGCATATCCGCATCCAGGAAAACGTTGAGAGCTTCGTTGACCTGTTCATCGAAATAGACGCGCAGCTCCTCCGTCTGCCTCTTGCGAACTTCCACAGTCAGCTTTCCCCCACTAGCAGCTAGTTTACGGCATTTTGGGCGATTGTTCTCGTGCTCTTCAAAGGCGTCGTCCCAGTCAGCGCGGAACGTCACTTTCGTCCGCCGCTCACTATTGTCTCGCGCCACCTTGAGGTCTCGGAAGAGGAGAACGGTCTCCTTGCTCTTCACGATGCGCTGGATGAATCGACGCTGGTGGTCGGAGAAAGCGTCGGGGTTCCAATTGTCATTCTTCGGAACCTTTGAGGGAAGAATGACTAGTTCGCGGAGGAGCGGAATATTTGCAAGCATGCTCCGGAGCTCTGCAACGAGGTAGGACTCCAACTTCCGGAACCCAATGAATCGGAGATTCTTCTTAAGCTGGCGTTCCTGGGAGTCTGAATAGTAACCCTCTCTGTTGTAGATGTGAGCCATCTGGTAGATGTCCTTGAACTCGGGGTTGGTATTTTGAGTGAACGGGGCTAGAGCCTCTTTTCCAAGGTCCGCATCCGTGTCCATCAGTGCTGCCAACGTAGTCCTAGCGCCAGGATTCTTGGGAGTTTCGCTTATGAGGGGTCTCCGATATCGGTACCATTCGTCCTCGTCGTAGCTGTACTTGATGACAGCTCCACCTCCAAGTTCGCTGTAGACCATATTTCGCAACTCTCCGGGAAGATCTTTGAAACCGAGTGGTTTCGCTACCTGGTGACTTTATTCGTATATCGAATGAAGGACAACTTGTTTGGGAAGAATGTTAACGAACCGGTTGATTGTCGTTGGGGGACTGCATATTTGAAGCAGACTGGGTGGCAGAGCCAGAAGTCAAGTTGCAGGGGTGGTGAATGCCGATGACACTTGGGAGGCGTGGATGTCCAGGACAGATGTGAGAGCAGGAGGGGTAGGAGGTATGGGTGGTATGGGTGGTGAGGGTGTGGAAGTTGTTTCTGATGAAGTAGAGGCAGTTATGAGTGGAGTAGTAGACTTATATAGGGCGCCTGGTTTGAAATGGCAGCTTTCACTGGGTTCAGATACATGATAGAGCAGGTTTCACGACAACTATGCTTGAAGCATCTAGCAAGCGTAGAAAGAGGAGCTTGGTTGGTGGTGAATCATCCAGGAATAGATACTAGAGACTCACGGTCGCGATTTTGGAAGTTGGTGAATTCGATCTCGACATAAGGCATTAAAGCAATACTCAAATTGGTATGCTTTACCACAGACAACCCGGCCCCGTCGTTGAAGTAGCGCTTCTTACACATCATATTGCCACGCATCCAACAATCTTTGGAGGAGAGGCTCATCTCTTCCGAAACAACTCCGATGCTTTGGATGCTATACAACACTAGTCTCTTTCGATTGCAATTTTTGGATTCTTGATCACGTGCATGACATTCGAGTCCGGAAAGCTGGTATGATCGTCGTTGCCCGAAGCCGACATGGAATCTATACTTGATAGGAACAAGGTCCCTCTCCTACTTTGGATCCCCGCGCGTGCTTCGCCAACTCAAGCTTACAGACAAAGAGTCTAGAAGCGCGATCTAGATTCATCTACACAGAACAAGCGTTCGTGTTTTCCACTGGAAATGTCTACAACCACACCTTTCTTCTCGAACCTGTTTCGGCAGAACTCTCAAGTTATTGCTAAAGTTCTGACAAAACGTGGAAAGCAGTCAAGTGGTTGGAAAAGTCAATTTCCTGATGCGGCTGGTGAATTTGTAGGATTTTGCTCAGACTTCGCTTTCGTCGTTCGTTTACTAGACCTTTTCCAGCACGCCGAGTTGCACATCGCCGTCCATGATGGCCCGCCTGAGAATACCGATTACACAATTCGTCTTCTCAACCAGGCTTGCTATCTCTCGAGCTATAGCCGCCTTCATTTCTTCCATGTACAGCCGTTCCAAGGCCTCGGTCGCTAACTGACTATCGTCGTCGTCTAGCGCTTCGACTCCAAACTTCGCAGAAAGGACGAGAAGTCTCGAAATTGACAAACGCATCGTCGAAGTCTAGTTCAAAGGCCACCACTGTCTTCTTCTAGTCTTTCATTTTCAGCTTTTCAAGGGAGATCAGGCCCTGGTCATATCTCGAATAGCCTGCCAGCTGTTTGATGTACGCCTTTTGCGTTCGTTCGGACGCACTTGCTCCATCGAGTCTCTCTTCTTGCACCTGTTGAGGCATATTGACGGCCGCATGTGCTCGACGCATCACTACGCACCCTCATACCAGGGTGGCTCCGGAAATGCCACCGCACGAAGGTGGTCCCGAGCTTCCTCTCGCGATGTGCCTTCTGGTTGCTTCAATTTCAGAGTAGTTTGGTCATTGTGTGCGATGGAACCGGCTCGAATATCCCGTTATTGGTGTTCTCCTCCGTTGCGTCTTGAACAAGTTAGACGTTGAACGGATTGTTCAAGTAGGTGTCGCCCAAGCCGTGCTTTGCGTGCTACTTAACGCAGATGATCTGATTGTCAGCGTTTCGCTAGTAGGTCGAGCTTCTCTCCAACTCGTCATGTAGAGGAGAGGGGGCAGGGGCTGCATTCATGTTGTTAGATTATCGGTTCATTCAAATGGGTCTTATGGAACTAATCTACTCATTTCCTGAGGCTTCATCCTCGTCAGCACCAAAGGGGAAAAGCGAAAGGAGGGCTTCATTGTTATTTGAAGGGGAGGCTATAGTTGTTAGCACGTTCTAATCAGATGGCTGTATATAGAGCGCCGTGGGCTGACTTTGAGGTGATGCTCGCGCGTATGTGGAGGTTGGCCGAATTCACTAAGATCACCTTCAAAAAGCCTTCATCTCAGGGCTTTGCGAGACTCGGCTTGATCGATTATAGTATAGGCGAAACGATAGTGAGAACACGCTACGCAAACGGTACAGTCCCTCTGTCAGCTTCAAGGATTGGTTGATTCTCATGAATGATTTGCCTGCGAATGCTCACTGGTTCACCAAAGTACAAGGCCCTCATTTGAAACTACACCCGGGCTTGGAAGATCTGGCAAGAAAGTGATTAGGCTTGGGAGCATGGTTTAGTCATTGTAGGTAGGTAGCTTTGTAGTCTGTGTGTAATCTGACATCTCGCCTGACTCCAATTTCAACCGCCAAATGTGCCCAGAATACCCAATGAAAAGTAGAACCAAGCCTCCGAGAATCAATATCGATGTATCAGACCCGATTTGAGAATATGCATGTACCCACGCATGACCTGCCTTTTGAAAAGAGAGTAGAGAAAGGTGTTGTGTTTTAAAGGGGACTTGCTTCCGTGCTCGCCCGAAATGCACCTCTGACCCTTCGACTGTGCTTGCTTCAGCCTTCTAGGAAGAACTAGGAGGAGAACTGCCTTGACACCTTGGCGCTTTCGAGCCGGGAGATGTGGTTTTCGTGGTGTTGGAATTTGTTCTGATGCTCCCTGGACGCATTCTCGATACCGCGACGATAAGTCTCAGTATGTCGCTCCACTTTGTTCTGATGCTCCTCGGACGCGTTCTGAATACCGCGACGATGACTCTCAATCTGTCGCTCCATTTCGTCATCTACGATGCCCTCTAGCAGACGGTCCAAGTGTTCCTTGAGATATGGAGCGAACAGCTCCACCATCACCTCGGGCAAGCGACCGTTCGTGCCTGCGAGGGCGTTGCAGAAACGCCGATTGCGTTCGTGCACGGAGAACGCATCCTTCCAACCCGGCTCACACACGACCTTGGTGAGACGTCCAACCTCCGCTTTCTGTAGCGCGAGCTCGACGAGTAGGTATCCGAACGTTGGGTTCTTCTTCAGTTCCTGGACGTATGCCTCCTGTTGCTCGCAGAAAGCATAAGGGTTCTCATTTCGCTGGCGCACAACCTTCGCGGGAAGGAGTATGATGCGCTCTAGGTTTGACATGCTCTTCAGGCGATTGTAGAAGGCGACACGGTCATGCCGACCGCTCAGTGTCTTGAATGCAACCGCGCGAATATGATCCCAGAGCTTCCGCTCGCCGCGCAACCTGTGGCCACCCATGTGGCGGAAGAGCAGGTTAAATGCTGCATCGTCGACGAACTCGAAAGTTGTTGCTTCGATGAATGAAGCCGGGAATGCTTGTTCTAGTTCTTCTGGTGTACTAGGTAGCATTGTCGGTAGATCATGCTCGTAGCTGTCATTGTTCGCGACGAGCTCTGTGCAACTCGATAATTTAGTGCGGCATCGGATAGTCATAACGTTGCCATAGCGGCGAACGCTGTCGACAAGGAGGCCGAGGCCGGGATCAAGGCGGTTGCTAGCGCCGGGCTATAGACACGGTCAGCTTCAAGGTTGCACACATCTTCAAATCGCGGATTCTGACCTGCGGTCCATTATGCAGCAAAACCGTGCCGGCTGCGGGTGCGAGTGCGGACGGCGGTGCCGGGCCAGGGGTTCTTGGTGGACTTGCGTGCATGCCAGAAGAAGCCATTGGAGTGAAAGAGGTCTGCCTCTTTGCCGTAGGACTAGGCAAAGGCTGGATGCGGAAGATATTCGAGGGTGTGATGTGTTGTGGGCGAGTCAAGCGGGCGCCAATTGCGCGAGCATGAAGAGTTGCACCAGGGACCCCTCAGGCCCGTGCTCGCCAGCCACGTGGATCTTCGGTATCACGTATACCTGAGCAGATAGCATCCCCGAGAGCGGATCCCGATAGGGAGCGCTAGGCATCCAAACGTATTACTGATAAGAGATCTGGGAGTCTGGCTGTAGCGGCCTGACAATGAGCACGAAAGTCCTGAGCAGTACCCTATTTCTTATAATACCCATTGAATTACCAGCATTTTGACCAGAAGAAGCCCGGGGTAGACCTTCTATATTGTTGTAGGGAATTATATACCATTGCAGAGCAAATGAGTACTATTTCGCGGACATATCAGGTCAGGCTCCGCGGAGTTATCATGTATTATGATACAGCCTTTCGGCCTTCAACAGTCAAATCAATCTTTCGCAACGGAAGAATTCAGTTCGTGCTCCTTCATAGCAAATGTTGCAACATAGCTCCATTGAAGGCAAATAACAAGCATTTCAGCATCTCGAAGCACATACAGTTTTCGTTTTACCTAAATCGCGCAGTCATACCAGTGGTCTATAAAAATTGTAGACAAGCAACATTCAATAAAGCTATCAGCAGCCTCACGAACTCTGAAAACTCTCTATCCAAAACCGCTAGCTCAGTGCCAAATAGAACTCTACTTGACAGCGTCCCTCGCCGTATCAAACCATTGAGCTTCAGGCATTAGTCCATCCGCTCGTACCTTGAATAGTGCCCTCACTACCTGATCCATCTGCCGTTTAAAGAAATGTAGTACTAGCCGTGTCTCGCGTTCCACCTGGCCCAGCGTGTCTCACCAGCCCGGCTTGCTTCCTGCCCTACCTTTACAAATGCGATCCCAGTTTCCCTTAGAATCAACACATGTCGGTCCTTCATCCTTATTCAGTACCTGCGTAGTTCTGCTCAAAACTTTACGAATATGGGGCCGTAGACAAGAGTTCGAAACTAAGCCTCGTTCTGCTTCTTGAATGCATTGGACTGAATGCAGGGCTTTCTTAGCAGCTTCGACAACCTTCTTAACTTTCCATACAGTTAGAAATTACTAGAAAGCACGAGAAATCCTTCGTCCATGGCGATCTACTAAGTTATGATGCGGAGGCTGTCGCAGTTCTTCGGTTCATGCCCCTCTCACTTTCTACCGCTCTCTAATAGAAGATCGTAAATTAGCATGGGCCTTCGAATTCCAGTAATTGATGATTACAAGCACGGTCTGGAGCTATAACAGTGGCCTTATTACTTGTGACAACTACTGGGTTCAGCGTGCGAAGTGTCTGTAAGTATTCGTAATTGGTTGCACGAGTTGACCCTCGAGAGGGATTATGTCCTTCCACGAGATTTTGGCGATGCCATCATTTGTTGCATCTATCTCGTGGATGCTGTCTTTGATCTCGTGAGGGAGGTGGTGGAAATTGAGACCTTGTTGGTGTTATCAAGGGAATTGCATTTGCAACTTCGTAAGCGCCACAGGCGTACTGAGCACTTCCTCGAAACCTGGTGCAGGCCGTTTGGCTGCATCCGGCTTCCTAATATGCACACGAGATCGCTCTTGTTCAAGATTTGGAGCCTATAGGTACATTAGCCAGTAACGTTGAACCAAATTCTACATGACCTACTCATGGCATACCTGTTGACATACGCTTGAACGCAACATGCCTTCTCGAAACAGAGTGCATCGTCCGGCCCTGACAAACGAAAAGCCCCATGTCCGTCTTGAAGCCACTGCGCTTGTCCCTTTTAGCCCTACCTCTAGCATAAATGCGCGCAGATATAACGAACCATATGAAAGGATATCGGATCCTAGAAGGCTTCCGCCAAAGCCACATTTTTGGAGAAGCGGAAGATCTAGTTTTTTTGTCAGCTTTCGGAGCCTTAGCAAGGATGCATCTAGCGACCTTACCTGTTGTTCCTTAGTTAGAGTAGGAATATGCTGTTCTAGAGCGGAGGCAACATTTAGGCTACACGGAGAATTGTCGACATTGCAGTACAGCCATTATTGAGTAACAAAGCCTGAGAGTGCTGATGGCGTGGGATATGTTTGTGGCTAATTTAGTGCTTGTGATAGAGACTGCGTGGGTCATAGACTTATGGTATAGGCGTAGAATGGATATGTATATGCATAATTAGTAGAAATCGTGACGCATCTCGCCCCGTAAGTTAGTGAGGTATTTACCGCGATACATGCGGTCAGACTGGCGGCGCCCTCTACTTTACGGGCATGTAGTGGAAGCGGTGCCAGGATATTAGCAGCGTTGGGGACATCAATAATATGCACAGGTTTCCAGGTTCCTTCGCTCGATTCAAAAGGGTTTGTAATAGTTTTTCTGTCTCTACGAAACATGGATGGCTCTGGGGTTCGCTCCCACCCTTCTCACCTCGTCAAAGCCGCCATCGAGCCCCAACAAATTGATGTCTCGAACCCCCGGGGAATCGTAGTCGGCGTGGCTATACGATAGTCAGTAGTTATACCACCATGTAGGTATCGTAGCTGCTGCAAGGATAGGACTTACTAGACCAGCCGGACCGGCGATCCACGCCACTAAGCGTTAGAGGCCCTCAGGTCGCGGAGGTTTCTACGCTGTTGACGAAGTCGTCGGATATGAGCCTGGATGCGCGGAGTACTAGTTCCGGCTCGGAGATCACGAATCCGGTCGGTCTTAGCGTGGACAAGGCGGGTAATATGGTCGTATAGGCGATTGGCCAGTTCAGTATCCCAGTAGTCGTTCAAAGCATCGACAGCGTCCTCAACTGCATCTGGATCAAGTCGTCCCGCTGGCGCCAACATTCGACACTTACGCCGATTGGCTTCGTAATCGTGAGCAGCGTTGAACCAGTTTGCCTCAAAGATGAGATGTGTCTGACGGCCGTCCTCCGCACGCTTCTGCTTGAGCTTCAGGAGGAAGTTCAAGACTCGGGGAGATGAGAGAAGCCTGTCAATCCACATCCGCTGCGAAGCGTTATATGCTCAGGCGCCCGGGTTCATATAGTCCGGAACCCTCCGAGGCACGAGGACCACACGGCGGATATTCGGCATGTCAAGGATATTCCTGAACACTTTGACGGCCTGTGGTCCCGCGAGGGATCTGAAAGCGATAGACGACAAGCGGGTGTAGGCTTTGGGCTTGCCGCCATCGCGCTCTTCGCCGAGCTGTTCGAATAGGACGTTGAACTGGCCGGGTTCCTCGAATTCAGGTGTGGTCTTGGCCAAGTATCGTTCAGAAGCCTCCTCGGAGGCCTGTAGATTGGACATCGCCAGGCCGTGAAAAGTATGAATAGCGGTCTGGTCTTCGAGGTTGACGAGTTGGACCTCGCGCTTGCCCGTTCCGGCTTTCCATAGCACGCGGGTAGAACCTCCGTTCGTGGTCGAGAATTCGTACACGATATCCCTCAACTCACGCGGCAGAGAAAGAAATCGAAATGCCGCCTCATCCTATCAAGAGCATTAGCTTCAAGAGTCGGTGGAAAGCAATTGAGAGGGCGCACCGGAGGGCTATTCACTCCCGCAGAAGCGTGCATGGCGGCAACCAGCAAATTGGGAGCCTGGTTGAGTGTAAGTCTGGAGGTGATGGACGGATGCTGAGGGGAGACGAACCAGGGGAGCGGCATGAGACATGTTCTGATTCTGCTAGGCAAGTTAGTCTAGGAATGCAATTTGATACGGACTCCTCGGACTAACCGACAGCGAGGGTTGCATGACTCCCAGGTATGGCGACACCGTGTTCTCTTGGCCAGGTGCTATCGAGTGGCAGTTGACGGGCGACATGTAGAGAGTAGGTGATTGAAGGTGGCCGTCGTGTGTGGGTCAAGGCTCTCGTGAAACGGTGATGTGGACTCAGGTTGAAATTGATGTGAACTCTGATTTCTATAGACGTCTAGCTAGTTGTATATATACTAGGGGAAGGAAGGGGGGCCACCCCCTGGGTGGCGCGCTAGTAAGTTCAGCTGAACACTGCACAGCTGAGTTTTCAGCTGGGCTCTCCACAGCTGAGATCTCAGCTGTGTTCTCTACAGCTGATGTTCGGAGTAGCTTTCTAGCATATGAGTTGTTGATCCTAGGTTGTAGTGCTGCAACCTGAGTTGTGGAAGTCAAGAGTCGCCGAACTCGGAGAGCCAAGGAACTCGTCATTTCGGGTCTGTGGCTTTTGTGTGGCAAATAGAACGCAGGAGCTATGCCAGCATTCACCTACAAAATGATCGGAATGAGCCTTGTGCCAGGAATACCAAGGATATAGCCGTAATATATAGTGGCTCAGCATGCCGGTCAATTATTGATATTGAAGACTCTTGCAATACATTATAACATTCATCGGATTCCTGGAGTCTACGAACGAGAACTACATATCGGGGTGGCATCGAGGTTGCTGGGTCACAATACCGCATATCGCACCGTAACTAAAGTATAGGGAGAAGGAGATTGCATGATGTATGTACATTTCTGCTCTCCGAAAGATAATTGCTGAAGACATAGTTAGCGATCCACAGGAGACACTGCATTCAATGCATTTGGGCACTATAATTACATGAAGCTTTTGGAGGAACTTCCTCAGCCACTAGACTCATCACAATCAGAGTCCTCGACCTCTGATTGACGTATGTAAAATTAGAATTGGGACGGACACTTGGTAGCTTTGCGAGCTTCTAGCGTACAAGCAAGTGTTCTAGAACCCCATCTTAGGAATTTGAAGATTTTGTATTGATTGCTGTGTGCCCAGCAAAGTTGAATTTTCCTCATATGCTTTCCACATCTTGCTCGTTGACACTGTAGCTGATAGTAGCCATCCAAGCACGCTTACCCCTACTAAAAGCTTCTGCTCTCGCTAGCACCTCTGCCGCTCTGGTTGCTTCTCGCTCCTCCAGAATCTTCTCCCAGACTGATGGATCCGGGGGTGTCTTGTCTGGAGCCTCGATGTTCTTGAGTAGCGCGCCTTGATCATTGGCCCACACTGGCTCTTCACGAGTCGACTTTCCTGGCTCTTCACCTCCTCAAGAGGTACCCTCAGCATCCTCTTCACTCTCTCCAAAGTCACTCTCCAGAGCTCCGATTGGAAGGACACTGGCAAGAGCTCTGAATTCGGCGTCTAAATTCTCTCCATCCTCAAACGTCATGAAGTCTTGGTCATTTTGACGGGCCTCATGCGCCTGCCAGCTAGCTTTCACCTTGTTCTCAATGCGCTTCAAGCACACGTCCAACCTGGAGTCTCTGGCAGACACATCAGGCAGAGGGGCCGGCTGCAATTCTGGCGAAACTGAACTGCGGCTCTGCAGAGTCGTCTTCGTGCGCCTTAGTGTCCTCAATCTGGCGCGATCGAAAAGCATGTCGATGGAGGCGTTGTCGTAGCGGATGTCGTGATCGGTGCCGTCATCTTCGAAAAGTTCTGCAGCCCCGTGCTTGAGATTCTGAGAACCGACCTAACGTCGTGTTCTTTCCATATCATCAGCGTCCGGTTGTTCTACGGCGACGTGGTCCAGTGCCATCTTCTTTCGACCAATCTGGACGATCTTGAATTTCTGTAGTGTCCCGGTGACAAGTGTATTGATCGGCGAAAGACGGTGTGAGAGGAGCCTAGGTGGTCCATTAGTTTGGAGGTAGCTAGTAATGTAGCCTGAGTATGCGTACTGGTGGTGCGTCCTAGCGCGCAAGAGGATGCAAGTGGCGCAGGCCGTGATTCTATATCCAATGTGAGTCAAAAATCCCTCGCAATGCAACTTCCATGCACGTACCAGCGTCGGGAGTGCCCAGGTGTCGCCGGTAGTTGAGCGTCGCTGGCACCAGGCTCGGGCGCGGGAAGATAGTGATAGTCATATCGCAAGCGGTCTCATGGATGGATGAGCTCGAGAGGTTGCTGGAGCTAAAAGTGAGGTTGTAGAAGCTGAGAGTGAGGTTGTAGAGACTTCTAACGAGTTTCCACCCCGCCACCCTGACGTTTTAAGCGAAACTACCTAGGACTGCGTCACAGCAAGCTTTTAATTTCCGTAAAGAAAGCTGTAATAAAACACGCTGGGCGACTTCATGTATTTCCAAGTCTTTAAACTATCGTAATCTACAGTACAAAGAAGTTTATACACTTGGAACCTACCTTATCCATTTTTCTAGACATCGTGCCGCTCTGTCTGGGGGAGCCCATAGTAATACTGCCGCCTGGTTTAAAATGGCGTAATAGTTGTATTAGTATATTCTCCTTACGTGAAAGTCTATGGCGCCTTATAGCACGCCATTAGACGAAGTCGTGCGTAATAAGACAGATTCCCTAGTCACATTGGGGTGCTAGCAGGTAGACAAATCAGCATTCGCGTTTCTTTGGGCCTTACTGGCATAGAAGCCTACTATCCTCTTGAATACACTATTGCCAAAAGCATTTAATGCCAGAAGTCCGACCTTAACTAAGCTTCTCCTAGAGTTCCACTCCTCCTAAATTGATTGCAAAAATGATATTTTCGCGACCCGTCACCTAGAGTCCGGATAGATCAGCCCCTACACTTCCCGATGTGCTGCTTCATAAGCTCTTCACTAGTCTTGCCGTCTTTATTGAAATTGGTGTGGAAGCACAGAAGGCCCAGCAAGCCCGAGAAATCAAACTGCATACCGGGAAACGCCAGCCGTAAGTCCTTGAATTCGTAGTTGGTGGCCTGATCTAGCCAGACACTGGTAAGCCTTCTGTGCTCGGACACGGTAGCGGTGAGACCCTCCTTAAATGGGTGATTATATAGGGCCACTTTAAGTCTCATGGACTACTTCTCCATCTAATTCTCGGATGATCCGTTAGTATCCGCAGCTTATGGCAAAGCAGCTTCGGATGCGGCATTCCCTTTGGTATCGCCGGAGCTTATATGGGCAAGCAGGCCCAAAGAGACAGTTTGTAGCTTGCGAGACTCACATCGCAACTCCTGCAACTTGTAATTGCTATATAGATTTATTTGTGGACAAAGAGACTCCCGTGCTTGGCTATAATAGACTAGATGTCCTCCCCGAGAGAGTAACTATGTACCGTAGCTTTGTGCGATTCGAATATCATTCGACTCGTGCTCCTTAATCTCGCGCTCGAGAAGCCCGACCTCGAGGGCGCGAGAAAGAGTCAGGATGTCAGACCCCAAATATTCCCATTCTGGAACGAGAAAGACTTCTCTTCCGGCTGGCATACCTCTTGTGCCTTCTTGTCTGTATTTACCTCCTTTTCAGCTCTCCAGTTCCCTTTTAACGTGTTTTCAATTTGGCGTCCGTGTTACAGGCACTGGGGATGGGAGCTCATTTTGGGGTAGCATGCATAATCGATGGCGAAAGATTGATTACGAGAGGAGGTATCGTCCAAGCTTATACAGTAAAGCAAACCCGAGCAAACCGACTAGATATCGTGGATTCTGGACTGCTCGCTCCGAAGTTGTAGTTAATAGCGCAATTCTTAATCGAAAACAGGGTTGCTGCACTTCAGAATAGCAAAAATCACCACGGCTTAGGTCGCTTACTATATATCTCAGGGAAATCTACAGGAAGGCCAATGCCGTCTTCCAACGAACCCTTTTCTTACTCTGCCGGTGCGCTGCTTCCAAAATCTAGCTAAATACTATCCGTGAGCCTTACTTCGTTAAGTGCTATAAGGCTGTAAATTGGAGGACTTTAGCTGAGGCCGAAACCTCTCCCTCGGATACTTAGGTCTAGATCGAGTGGGTGGCGGCGGCGCGGCAACGAGCTCCAACAGCCTTCACTAATCTATCACTTCACCTGTGATGGGTCCGGATATGCTCTCACCTAAGCGTGGCCGGGTGGGGAGTGCTGAAACGCCTCCGACTCGCTCGTCGACGGCGCGCGGTTGCGCAGGAACGGATCTAGGGGGAAGTTATTCTGCGGCGTCGACGGGCCAGATAGGGCGCTTGCCACCGGCGGCTAATATGAACCGCGATGCTGCGAAGCACTGGGAACAGGTGCTAAACTGGGCGGTGCATGGTACGAGCTGGCCCGGGGCTGCGGAGTGGAGGGATTTGGCGAGGGCTTGGAGAGTAGGTAGCGTATGCGAGCTGTCCCTGGCGCGCGCGCTGCACGATGTCGAATAGTTTACGTATGCGCTGTTTCGACGTCGACGGGGTACATTCTGCAGACTGTGAAAGGAACAATAGCTATCAGATTCACGTTGGTGATGGGGGCGCGGGGGCGTGATTGAGATGTTGAAAAGCAGGACCATTGCATAGTTATACGCAAGAGCCTGGTGGCGTTGGAGGACGGTTCTTGTTGCTTAGTATTTATATCTCGGTTGGATTTCTATTTTGAAATAGCTAGCGTTTGCTTTCAAAGGAGAGGTAAGAACACATCTACTCCATACGTAAAGATGGCAATGATGTTGTGCCGAGTAGAGTCGTCGTAACGAGCGGAAACTTCGAAATGCGGCGTTTGCGTGCTACGGAGAATTGCGGTGTCCATGGCCACCTTGTCGTTAAGGAATCCTACGCATTTGGTGTCGGTAAGAAACAGGCTGGACAACGTGGGTCATATTGGATTGTCTGTTTCAGTTCAGAAGCAAATAATTGAGGCGACGGGTGGTGGCCGTCAGCGAGTGGTGTCGGACGAACTGGGACAGTAAGAAAACTTCTGATACCTAAGAAGACTTTGCAATTGCCTACGGTGGATGGATCAACCTCATCGAGATGGGTGATGATGCATTGTCGGCTCGCATCAGGCCGTTGTCTCAGAAGCTCTTAAGCTTTATCCTCTGAGATGGAACTACCACTAGACAAGCTCACCACGCGAGTAGTGTTGTACTCGCAGCTTGTAAGATTTACTTTTCACGGACTGGCCAAGGTGGACTGCTGTCGTTTCATCGAGAATAGGAAGCGAGTTGCCAAAGGGAGTTTTCTGCTCAGCAGTTGATATCAGCCCAGCGCGCTCGGTCCGTTTAGTACACTTTCTATCGAATGCAGATAAGGAGGAACATCCTTTCACTGAGGCGATTGGAAGTGAAGAGCATGGATTAAAAGTCTACGTTGCTGGTAAGAACGCTCTGAGATAGTTGTTTCTAGCCTTCTTCCCGTCCGCTACTCCCCACAGCGGCTCAAGAAACTTACAGCCACATATGTTCTCTTGACGCTGTTGTGCCTCCTCCGCGACTGTAAGCGTGTCGAATCGGCCCAGATCGTCAGGCCCTTCAGATTCTCTAATCGCGTTGTGAAGGGCGCGCACGTCGGGGTGAATTAGGGCTTAGATGAAGAGGCGTTCTCCTTGCAGCAGCTGTCTTCCCTGGCGCGGCGTTTGCAGATTGGGCCGGAGTGCGGTAAGAATAGCCGCAGTCGACATGGACGGACTACCTAGCCGATGAAATTATCTTGAGGAGTCGCTTTGGCTTTGGCATGTTCGATATGTCGGGTATATTAGAGTGTTGAACCCACCTCCGTGCATTTGTTTGACCACTCCGTTGTCGCCAGCACCGCGGCCGTAGTGGATGTCGCGGCCATCCCGAGGCTCGCTAGGCTCTCGATCATTATACGTACGCTTTCGGGGCCCTCCGATTGACGATCGTCCAGGAATAGGGACGTCCTAATTCTTCAGAGCACCTGGTCTCGTAGGAGGGTTGATATCGGGCGGTCGCAGGTAGCTTGGGTGCAGTAGGATGGACCAACCTCCTTGTTCCTCACTTGGACGCCGAGCTTCAGCGGGTCGTAGTTGATGCTGAGCTTGAGCTGCCTTACCTGCGGTCGTCTAACTGTATAGTTGCTTCACCTGCAGTCTTACAGTTGTATAGCTACTGCAACTCCATGGCTCGGGCTTGGGGGTTCTTGACGTTGTCGACAAAGAATGCGTGGTCCCATTCTATTTAGTTGCCGGTTATTTGAAAAAGAAAAACAATCGGCTGGCTCGGTTTTGAGTACGGGGAAGAACGCGGCCAATGCTTCCAGATTTGCGCTCATGAGCTTCATCGCGGCGACGAGTTGCTGCAAATTATTCGTCGATCCATCCTGAATTCAGCAATGGCATCATCGCGATCGATCTGCTCTTTATCACTGCAGTAACGCCGGCGGCATATCGCTGCTTAATAGCCTTGCCAAGCAGACTTCTCCAAGAGCGGCAGTCTTTTGTCTGTCTACAAACAATAGAACTCGTGCGTCTTCGCCTTAACCAAATAGGTCACCATACCGAACGAGGGTCTCATGAACTTCATCTCCAGTGCCACCATCTCCACAATATGCTTGATCTCGGGACTAACAGAAAGGAGCGGTCTCAGTCGCGGCGAATGTAGAATGGGCCACGATGGCAGTGAGATTAGCGGTGGTCAAACGAACACCTGGTCTGCAGGAGTATCCTGCGAGCTTGTGGGATGTAAGACCCGTTCCCGCGCTGATAGTCCCGGAAGTCGTCGCTGGGTAGGTTCCTGAGGCTGGTGATGTCCCCGGGCAGGTCCAGCTAGTAGATGCCGACAGCCAGCTAGAGACGAGGCTACCTCTCAAGGCTCTAAACAGCTTCTTCCATACGCGGTAGTTGACACGGTCGGTGCCGTGGGGTGCGAGGCTGTAGAGGAGCCAGAAGTGACGGCTCGAATCCTCGCTTTTTTGCATGTCCGCCGCGTTGACATGCCATAGCGAAGCAGAACGATTGGCGCTTCTACGACCCCGCGATGATTGTGACCGCTGTATCCTCGTTTTCGCACCTATCAGTCTGTCTGACAGGGTGGATGTAGTCCTCTGACCGACTGGGCGGGTCGATCGAGCGCGGCGGCGGGCAGACTGAGCGGCCACGGTAGGAGCAGGCGCGGTCGATATGGGAATGGCCACCTACCCTGAAGGGACGCTTCGAGAACTTACACCCACCAGGTCTGGCCGGGGCAAGTTCCTCTGGCCGCATTCTGGAGTCATCCTTGATCGTGTTTGCAGGCCGCGCGAGACGGCCGGCTAGCTCATCTTCTATAGGATCGCTGCAGTCGGTATCTCACCCCCATAGGTACACGAGCTACGAAAGGGTCGATAACTGCATCCGTATCGCCCATCTCCAGCGGCCGTTTCAGCGCCGTGGAGAGGCAGTCCCCGGATCATATGTTTATTTCCACACCCCAGTGTGGGTCCAGCGTGACTGTCTCCACGTCTACACCAAATGAGAAGGATGTTATAGAGGTGTCGTGTATCTTGTTCCAAGAGCAAAAGAGTGTCTGGCCTACAAGTTTCCTCGAATGCATATCAGCGATGACCAAAGAAAATAGAGCGCGCTCAGATTACTCTGGAGGTCGCCATAGGCAAGCCTTGCAAGTCCCATGAGCTCGTGAGCTTCGTCCCCTTCGACAGTACAGTTGTGATCTGTATTCTCCCAAACGCCTGCCATATGAGCTACGAGAGCGTCGTCCGGCGCAAGGGGCGTGTGTGGAGGCGGCGAAATCGTGGGTCGTGGGTCGTAGGGTTGGCCTGGGCGGAGGGCTTTCCAGGTACGGAGAGGAAGGCGCTGGGATCAAGGTAGTGGCGAGAGGAATTGGTGAGGTGTACAGACAACGAGGTGAGGAAGTTTGTTGACGCGCCATGCTGAGTCTAGCACGCGATTAGCAATGCACTCGCCACTGCTCTAGCAGGCCGGTTTAAACCTCTAAAAAATGGAGAACCAGCAGTTTTAGAGGCGAGGAGAAAAGGGAACACATATCATTATCACATAGTAGATTCATGGGAAGATGTTTTTAAAGTTTGTAAAATTCCTGAGGCACGACGCAGCAGCATCACCACCGCTCCACCAGCACCTTCAACTGCTCTTCACCTGAGCCTCATCCTCCTCCCAGGATCCCCAGGTGCATTGGCCATTGGTACACTCCGGGTTCCCGCTTTCATTTCGCCCTTGTACATGTGCCATAGCCAAGTGAGCTTGCGACCCTGGTGCTCACGGTTGGCGGTTGACTCTGGCGTGAATTTGTCGTTGCCGAGGCTGACGCGGATAGGGCGACCAGCCAATTCGAATCCGTGCATCGTCTCGAGGTTCTTAGGCTTGGGCAGGATCGCGGAATCTAAATGGTTAGTGAGGGAAGTTGAACAGAGGCAGGGCTACTTACTGCACGAAGCCATCATCGATTGGAACGCCCTTCAGCTTCTGGCCTGTGAGCTCAATCGCGGCCGCGACAGACTCCTCATCGTAGAACTCGACGTAGCCAACACTGTGCAAGTGAAGACGTTGTTGAGGTCCGTCTCGGTGATGCTGAAGTGAACGTTGCCGACATAGAGACGGTGGAATGGAACGCCGCTCTCAGGGCCTGGCAATTCTTCTCGGCTTCCGTATGTTGCGCAATGATTGGAACACCCTTCAGCTTGTGGCATGTGAGCTCAATTGCGGCCGCGACAGACTCCTCGTCGTAAAATTCGACGTAACCAACACTGCGCAAGCGTTAGTTGGGTGCTTGAAATAGAATTGGAATTAGTAAGATAAACATACCATTTCAAACATCCCGAGACGTGGTCCTTCACAATCTGGGCCTCCTTGACTCGGCCGACTTTGTTGAAGAAATCGAACAGGTGCCTAGTCTCAAGGCGGGCGGCCAGCTGCTGGACGAAAACTGTGCGCTTCGACGCAAGCACCCTCGCACGAAGCAGCTCCGAGGCTACTCCGTGCGAGGGTACTTGGCGTCCACCCATCTCAGAGAGGTCGGCCATAGCGTCCTCCGCGGTTGTAACGATTATCTCGATCCCGAGGATAATCTCTATCTCGATCACGACGGCCACCACGGGGCTGATAGTGTCGATCTGGGGACTTTGACGCAAGCATCCTCGCACGAAGCAGCTCCGAGGCTACTCCGTGCGAGGGTACTTGCGTCCACCCATCTCAGAGAGGTGGGCCTGGTTGGTGACCTCAGAAAGTCCACACCCATCTCTTCTGCCACAATCCGTCGTGCAAGGCTAGGCTGTCCCTATCTGGGGACCTAGATCGGGAGCGGTTATGACCTCCTCGATAGAAATCGCCGCGTCGGCGGTCGTCGCGACGACGTGGAGAGCGCGAGCCGTACCTGTAGATTGTTAGCATGACGAAGAAGAGAAATAAAAGAAGAGGAACCAAACCACCTCACCGTCGCGACGTGCCAACTGCTGTTGTTGAAAGCAACCGGCAGCACCGCGTCGCGGAGGTGAAAAGAATCCTCGACAAGGAGAGAAAAACGTACCGTCCGAAACAAAACACTCAGTAAATCACTGCTCTACCCGGGTTGATGCCCCGAAGACACCGCTCTGAGGAGTGTCTTTCATTTCGACATCGCCGTCTTCCTTCTTGACCTTGCTACGGCTACGATCGCGACGGTGATCTCGATCGCGGTCGCGGCCACGGGTGCCGTCTCGATGTTCGTTCTTGACGGAGCTGGAATTTTTCTCCCGGTCGAGAGCGGCCGCAGCCGGTGCAGCTTCCTCGAGAAGGGCCTCGATATCAGAGAGTCCTGGAGTAGCCATTGTTGGAAGTGAAGATTTGAGTTTGGGGAGTAATCACTGCCGCGAGTGTCTCTCACGGCCGAGAGCGGCCGCAGCTGAGGCAGTGAGCCTGTAGACAGTCAGCAAGATGAAGAAGAGAAGCTGAACCACCTCACCGTCGCGACGTGCTACTGGCTGTTGTGGACAGTAGCCACCAGCAACGTGTCACGGAGGTGAGAAGGATCGTCAACAAAGAGAGAAGAAGAAGTGAACTTACCGGCCGAGCCTCGCGACCCCCACAAGAAAAACACACACAATAACCAACTGCAAAGAGGCAGTGGATGGCCCGAAGGTACCGTGCGCCCCGGTGGTGTGGTGTTGTGATGGAGAAGGAAGGTCGGTTGGAGTGGGCGGAGAGGGTTTTATAGGTGACCCCACTCGCTACGGCGCCTCGGCGCCGACAACGCCGCTCCAGCACTTATCGTAGGCTGCTGCCTAATGAGTCGCCGTTATCCGGCGTATGAGGGTAGTACTGGGAGCATGGCAGTGTGCGTGACAGTGGCGGAGTGCGTAAAAGCAGCAGTGAAGTGGACAAGGCTTTTGCAGAGACCTGTTTATCTACTCCCAATTCAATTACGTAGATTGGGATAGTTCTGCTCGTTGCAATTGCTAGATAGCTGCAGAATGTAATGTTGAGGCGCTCAGATTGAGAGTGAAGCGTTTGAATACGGCACAACGGAATTGGGAGCGACCTCGGATCTGCCAACCTGCAGAGTTCCTTTGCCTTTTGTATATAGAGGCATCTCCATATCAGACGACCTTACTCTAATATTGCTTCTCGATTCAAACATACATTTGTGTACAGTCCCCCCCTTGTACGGGCTGCGCAGGTCAATGCACATCCGTGCATCGAATGTTCCAGCAACCCTGCAAGCACTGTATATAATTCCTCATTCAACAATGCTTACTGATGCCTAAGCATCGAATCATGACAATTTCAACCCCTTGCCGCCACCTTACTCGCGATGAACGACTACAGATTCTCACTCTCTACAACGCAGGCCATGGAAACAGGCAAATCTCACGACAGCTAGGCATCTCAGAGGCCACAATTCGCCGTACAATTCGAAGCTTCAATGCTGCTTCCGGTCCTGTTCCTCTCACGCCAACAAAGTCAAAAGGCCGCCGCCCATTTATCGATACACCAACCCGCCGTCGCCTTATTCTCCATGCCACGCTCAACGCCGAACAGCGGAGGAAGTAATGGAGAGTTATTGCTGATGAGCTTGGGCTTACCTGGGTATCCAATGACCTTCTTATCAAGGCCTTTCACAAGGAAGGATACTACCGTAGGAAGGCCCAGAAGAAGCCCTAGCTCACCCCAGAACACATGGAGGCTCGGCTAAGATGGGTAGAGGAGCACCTAGAATGGACAGAGAGTGATTAGGACCGGGTCTGCTGGACTGATGAGGCATCATTCTGCCTGGATTGGGCGGATACCTGGGTGACAAGAGGGCCAGGAGAGGAGTTCCATCCACACTGCCTAGCCCCTAGGTTTCGAGGCTATTCAGCCTGGATGGTTTGGGGTGCCATCTCCTCAAAAGCAAAAGCGCCATTAGTATTCTTTGAGAAGGAATAGGGCTCTGTTATCAACCAGGTCTATTGAGAGAAGATCCTTCCCTATATTCTAGAATATCGAAGAGGGTATAAGCACTACGTTATTGGTGAAGGAAACCTTCTTCTTGTAGAGGATGGAAGCAGGGTTCACACAGCTAAGGCAGTGCAAGAAGAGTGGGGGTGGCACGGGTTGATTAGGATGAAGTTTCCTGCCAACTCTCCAGATCTGAATCCCATTAAGAATCTCTGGAGGCGGCTGAAGGATGCTGTTGCCCGCCGGCAGCCAAAGGATCAAGATCACATTAGGAAGATCCTTCAAGAGGAGTGGGAGAAGATTAGTGTTGAATGGATTCGATCCCTTGTGTACTCGATGAAAGATAGGTGCAGAGCTGTAATTGAGGCTAAGGGGGGGCATACTAAATGGTAATTCTGCAGATGGGCATTGAAATGTATGTAAAATTGTATGGTAAACTATGCTGGCCCTTGCACGGTGCATTGGCCGGCTCACAGACCTGCGCAGCCCGTACAGGGGGGGGTACTGTAGTCCTCAGCCAATGTCGGGGCATTTGGCAGGGGTTTCGGCCGATTCCGTGTTCTCATCTTCTTCCATGATCTTCAGCTGGCTACAGTCTCAGCGGCGGCAGTAGCAGCAGGCATGGATAGAGAAATGTCTGGGATGGTGTACGGCTACCGTGATTCAGAAACCCCGTCAGCACCAAATGACACGCCGTTCCCAAAGCTTTGGTTGGCTCCCGTCCTACACACAAGCGTCGTGATCCCCAGTTCATGGTAATGGCAATTTCCAAAGAAACTGGGAGTAGGGTCTTTGAAACCTCGACTGACCGTACGCCAGTGTAATTATAAAGTAGTGATAAACGACCGCCAGCATTGGGCGCGAGCGAGGCTTTCAACATAGAAGGTGTGTGCATGAAGCGGGATGCTCTAGCTTGAACCCCAGGAGCAGAGAGAGAGGCATAGTGCACGGCACGACATACAAAGAGTTGGATCAAGATCAAAGCATATCATTACTATTTAAAGAGACATTCAAAGTCCACATAAAATGTATGAGCCAAACAAGACCTCGCACTACTCTGGACTTTGGAGGTCGCACTTCCTCCGGCCACCAAAGCAGGCAATCACTGGCCACCACTCCAGTGCCCCCACGGACGGCTGGAGCCAGTGCGTGGTGGCCTTCACGCTATCGAAGGAGCGTCGCGAGTCCGTCTGATCCCTCACCACCACTAACCCACAAGAACTGCGGGTCAGCGGATCTGCCGCCACGCTCGAGGTCGAGGTGGGGAGGCTTCGATCTTGGCTGGTGCTGCTGCGACAAGCTCGCGAGGAGGTCGTGTCGACTGCAGCGGAGCCGTGTCGGAGTGCAGTCACTAGAGAAAGGAGGGCGTGGAGAAGGTAAGCAGTAGAGAGCAGAAGAGAGAAGTGGATAAAGAAAGAGAGTTATCAGCATCTATGAGAAGGGCTGTGAGCCGAGAAGCCCAACTTACCAAAAGCGCGACTCAGCTGCCGCTATAACTGTCAATAGAGTTAGTAAGGTACTAGGAAGTTTGGAAAGCAGGACATACCAAGTCCTCCTCCATCTTCGTTGCTTGCTTCACCTAGATTATGTCGTCGATAACGAGGTTCATGAACTCGTCGATTTCCTGCAGACTGTCAGACAGGCCAGTCAACATTATCCTGGGGATCGTACCCTAATCTTGCCCTCCACTCTGATGCCGAGTTGTTCAGACAACCAAGTCGAGACAGGTTGGCGGGGTTGCAGAAGCTTGAAGATGAAATTGATCGACGGGAAGAGTACCTTTCAAAGTTTCAGTAAGTTACTGCAATGTCGAGCTGTGCGATAGAGTGAATCGTACCTTTCCTACCTCCGCGACCCAGACACCTCACCTCCATTGCCCTGCCTGACCTTGAGTCTGATCCTTCATCGCCTCGAAATCACCTTCAGCGAAGTAAGTTCAAGACTCATCCTCTACGCGGGGATGGAATAGTGACATTGGCTCGTTCTCTGCATAGATCATAATGACAGGATGTAGGGGACCAGGATGAGTCTAGTAGAAGTCGTCGTGCTGAGAAGGTGAATGTGCGAATTCTTGAATATGATCATGAGCTGCATAGAGAGAGCCAGAATGATCGTGGGGCCTCACTTCATTTTGATCGTTATGTTCCTCACCTAGCGAACCGGGAGAGCTTAAGTACTGCGGATGTTTCTCGTTCTGTGGTTCCTGCTGATTGTACTTGTCCTCGGGTCCATCTTTATCTTACCCGCGACGTCCGCCGCAGCCACTGGTAGTGACGGCGGTCACGATCTGGGGGGTAAGGACGAGACGGTGAAGGTCCGCCTGGATAGAAGACGCGCCTCGGCGATGGCGTCCATTATCACGGTGGCTTGGACTGTCTCTGCCACAACGGCGTCGGCGCAGCTGTTGTCATCATTAGTGAGGTGTTGGTGAGTTTGCAATGTCGGACTTACCTGGAGGTAACCAGAATCTTCATGCTTACGTGCGTAAACAAGTTTCTCCGGGTTGCCCATGCCGGCAAAGAAGCGCTTCAGACCGAGAGACGTAGGCTGTCAAGAGGAGAGATGAGATGCAGATGGATGGGAGTAATGGCTGTCCTCCAGGCCCTCCTGCCAGTAGATGTTGATGCTGGCAGTTAAGGGATGTGGTGACGGTCAGCTTGGCCAAAGACTACTCCAGTCTGAGGGAGGTAACGTTCGAGGAGGACTCGTGCCAGAGAGGCTGTGCCAGGCGAAACACTATCAACAAGGTGGATGCACGGTTGGGCATGCCCTTCACACGCAGAGCCAGAGGTGATGAAGAAGTGAAAGGTTGTAGATGAAGGAGGAGAGATGAAGGAGTAGAGTGGAAGTGAGAAAATGTTGGTGGGTGATGTGAAGCGAGGGCGCCAAGACGGCAGTGTCCGGGCACGTGAGCGGGCCGAAGGAGCAACAGTGACGTCTCACCCGCCCGACACGGCTGGAGAACTCACCGATTTTGAAAAGCGCAAAGTAGATTCCGTAGCCTCCAAGGCCACCAAGATTGAACGTTCAATCTAAGATTGTATACAAAAAGAATGAGGCCTAAAGTTTTTGAGCGCATTGGGCGCCGTTATTCGTTCTTATATCTATCCGCGATTAAGTAGGTACAGATTGAAGGTTTTGGATTCTACGTTCCTGTGCCTCGTTTTTAGAATGCCCTGGAAACTCTTAAGTAGACTACAATTATCGCCAGGACTGCAGGAATCACAGCCTAGTCCAGCTGCAACACAGCTTTACATCCGCCCATACCAGCCTGCATGTCCTAAGCCACTCCAACAAACCTTTAGCGCCTTACGTTGGTTCACTTCGGTGTGTTGGTTTGTAGCTCTTATCTTGTGTTTATCGTGGAGACTCTCTGATTCGAGATCTTGACCTACAAGGGCCGGAGCGGCGGAGATGCTGCCAAAGCCCCTTGCGCTAGTGTTTGTTACTCCGCCATCAGCCTGCAGGGCCCTGATATGTACCTTTTTGAGCAGGGATAATCTGCCCTCCAAAAGTTAGGCCATAGTCGGATTATTATCGTGTTTGCTGAAAGCGATTCTCGCGTAGTTGAAGATCGTGTTACAGAATTTCTGAAGACACTCACGGGCCACCCCTTGCAGCGGAATACGAGTGCAATGTAAGGCTTAGAAGGCCTAGATTTGAAACTCCGGGGAGTCGCTTTACTCCGTAGCCTAGAGTTCAAGCTTACTTTCGTCCACAGGTCAGGGTTTGCAGCTTCGGCAATTACATTCCATCTAGGCATATCAAAATGCACGGCGCCATCCCAGGCAGCGGCATACACCTGCATTAGAGGACGAATACGGTATAGGTCCCAAGGCCTAAGGAATCATCTTGTTCTGTGCTCGGGTAATCAGGACTTCCATCAGCACAGCTCACATTCCACAGCTTCAGCGATTGGATTCCCTTTCGACAATTGGAACATCATTGAGACGCCTCAAGTGGCGGCATTCAACTGCACTGAAGGACGTGAAAGCCTTTAAATTGAATCTTTGAGTAATCACCTCCCTTCTCCGTCTAATTTTCAAGAGTTCTTTAAACACATCTTAGATTCAACACCCTTAACAAATACATCACATCCGGATATTCCAAAACTCACCGGGGTACCCCAAACAGCGACATACTAGTTGCAGTGGGAAATATGAAAAGCTTTCAATTGAACCTCTATTCATCTACTTCGAAAAGGAGAGCCAAATCTCCAACGCCTCATCCATCTCCACGCCCCACAATGCCATCAGAACACAAGCCCCACCCACCGCAAAGTCGTCCCCAGACTCAAAATTCGACCACAAAAAGCGCTCCGGGTCTAGGTCCGCCAGCATCGAGCGTGAGAACAGCCGCACTGCGAACACCCTTAGTATAGGTAAAGCGGGAATGTTCGCACCCAAAGTGGTAGGCTTACGTTTCAAAGTCACCAGAACCGGCGCCGGGGACGAGATACAGTCGCGTATCTGTCTCTCCGGGCACACGAACCGCCACAGGGTGAAGAACCATATCGGTGGCGTTGAGGGTGCCGTTGTTGTTGGGAGTAGGGGAGCCGGCATTCTTCTCGCCGTCGTGGTCACCCGCCACGGACGCAGCTTGCTCGAGGGGGGCGTTGGTGTCGGAGCCGGATGGCGCGGTCATTTTGATGATTGAAGGGGTGAATGTGGGAAAGAGGGAGTTGTTTGACCGGTGAAGTTGGTGGGATGTCCGTGATTCGAGTTCTCGTGTTCGTGGAGAACGTTTTATTCCCGTACATCGGAGCTACCGCCGTCCCAACAATGCCAGCATGACACAGGAGATAAAGGTTGAGCTTTGAGATTGTAGTTTGCTGAGTATGTTTATGTTGAGCTTGCTATAGCTTGAATTTGTTGATGTGGTATCTAGGAAGTCGACATCTTGCTACAATGGAAGCGTCAAGAATGAGAACTACGCAAATATTTACGGACAGAGCTGTTCAGGAACATATTGCGCTTCAAACTGTGTTCGTAATGCGAAATTACGTATCAATTGTGAAGATATCATTTCTCTTAGTAGTACGATAGTTGAACTAGCCCCCAAACGGATGCACACGGCTTTTCCATCTTGAGGCAACGCTTGCCATCACGCCCTCTCCTTGGCCTCCTCGCCGCCCCATTCCCAATTCCACGATCCTAATGAGGAAACATCCGCATCCAACGCAATTCGAGTTCCTCCTGCACTTGGTTCAAAAGAGCTGGCAGAGGGACCATCGTGCGCTCCACGCCCGCCGCAAGCTGCGCCCCGTCAATAGCCCGAACGCGATTCAGGCCGACCTCATTAGCCATCCATAAAATGTGGACCGCACCTGACAAAGTTCGGGGGTGGTGTCTGAACCTCGCCAATCGAGGTGCCAGGGAGTCTTGGATTTCTTCGACCGTTGAGCGATAGAGCAGTGGACTTGTAGGCGTCTTGGTGATTGCAATGAAGGCCAGGTTCGGCAACGACAGAACATAGTTCATAAGCACATCATGCACATGTGAATGCGCGACCAAGCCGTCAGCAACCACTAAACCGTAGATGCGGCTGGCATACTTATCGGGCGCCAGCCACACTCTATTGAGAAGACTGGCCAAGCCGCCATACCGGCAGTAGAGGATTCCAAGTTCGTGATGGCGGTTCATTACGTCGATGAAGTCCGGGTAGCAGGCGGCTAGCAGAGAGATGTTTCCTTGCTGTTTTAGGTACGGAACGTTAGCTATCCATCTAGCTTTGATTGCGGAGAACGATAGACTTACGGGTGGAATGAACTCCTGGCTTACGTGGCAGAAGGAGTGTGCCAGGACGCAGGGCATGGTGCGGAGGGAAGCCTGGGAACTGGTCAGAGTTTTGCGTTGACAGACGGTAGCAAAGTTGCCCGCTGCAAGCGCGGACAGATCTGACCTGGGGAAATTACTGAAGCGGCCATTGTGTGGGGGATAAGGCTTAGAACTCAGGTTAAATTGATGTGAACTCTGATTTCTATAGACGTCTAGCTAGTTGTATATATACTAGGGGAAGGAAGGGGGCCACCCCCAGGGTGGCGCGCTAGTAAGTTCAGATGAGCCCTGCACAGCTGAGGCTTCAGCTCGGTTCTCTACAGCTGAGATTTCAGCTGGGTTCTCTACAGCTGATGTTCGGAGAGTAGCTTTCTGGCATATGAGTTGTTGATCCTAGGTTGTAGTGCTGCAACCTGAGTTTAGATGAATAAGATTGCGGTGCCCTGCTGTCAGCAGCTGGGAAGACTATGTTCTTGCTGAAGGTGTATTTGTCCTTCTTGGGTATCAAAGTTTGTTAGGCAGAGGAAGATTTCGAGCGACTTACTACGGGAACTATTTCGCGGCTGAGATCCTGGATGGAGGCTGGTACAGTTCCAAGAAGTTAGTCCGCGCACTTCACGAACCTACTCGGGGCACTTGATAGGCCTTTAAGCCTCTGAATACGTTAGAACGACCAGCGTAGTGGAGATTAGACTACATTTTGACAAGCTATTACCTGCTGGACGGGGTATTCCTTCCACTGGTGTCGATCGAGCAAGAGCGGAGCCGGGGCAGCGATATATCGTGTGCCCAGATCTATGACCTAGTACTGTGTTACTATATTGTGAAAGATCTTGGATCATTCCAGACTTCGCCGGGGTAGACCAGAAGAGCCCCGCACAGAATCGACTCTAATTGATACGATGTAAAACTCTACGCGATGAAAATAGGGCTACCGTTTGACTTACCGAAGACATACTAGCTAGGTAATCCTTACAACGGTGTCGAGCGAGCAAGAGTAGTGCTTAAGGAGTGAGACGTACGTATGCCCAGAATCATGGGTTAGTACTGTACTGCACAGCACATGGGAAATTGACCGTCAAGACTGGTAACGGAAGTACTTTCATTAAGCCTATGTTCCGCTCCTGGCACGCTAGGTCCACGCAGATAGCCACTTCTCAAGCAACCGAACGCCAACAAAGCTCCAAATATCAGCAGTAATTCAGACTTTCCAAAGCTGGTCGAAGAGGAAGCCAATATTGAAGTAAAAGCAAATAAAACACCCCAAAATTCAAGCATTACCAGCAGAATATCCTACGCCGGTGGCCGATCCAATCAAATCCAAGCAGGCCGACGGGCAAGAATCCAAGGAAAAAGGGCTATTGTACGCTGCCTAAGACGGAGGAGTTCCAGAAGATGTGACCAAACGTTCAGGGTGGAGGGAACGGGACGCCATTGGCACTCATCCATTGGCGGCGGTTGACGATAGCCTGCTTGCGCTCCGCTACAAAGGAACGATTGCGTGTTTGTGATTGCAGGATTAGGCGGAGGGAGTTGATTATGAGGGTAGAGATAGTAGGGTCCCGTTCCTCCGGCTGCATGCTCAGAGCTTCCCGGACGCGTCCCTCGGTCGCGAAAGTCGCTACGCAGCCAGTGATAGACAAGGCCACGATGGAGTCTCCTATCACTAGTTCTCTCTCAAAGAAGATGTTCTGCAGAGCGTCGAGAATCTCTCGCAAATATTGCCCGCAGGCGGTATCTAAAGGCTCGGGAAGGGTGGGCTCGAGCACGAAAGTGAGTGACTTCAGGCGTTTGCACTGCTTCAACGCTCCCAAGCCGCCTCGGTCCCGGAGAGGGCTGAGGCCAGTCCTGACGAAAATGGTGACATGGTGGAGGAAAGTCAGGAATGGTGTGGGCAGTTGTCCGCAGAAGAACCCAAAGGCATCGAGGCCACAAGTCTTGAACCGGTTATTAGAGAGGCATTTCGGGAAGGTAATGCCACGGACGTAGGAGCAAATGTGGAATAACGGCAACACAGCCCAGAGCTTTCTGGGGATGCGGGATCCAAACCCCAGCGAAAAGGCCAAGATGGAGCCAGGCTCGGTGCCAAAGTCGACCTCCTTCGTGAAGGTGGTGATCTTGCTAATCACCCAGGCTATCACGGCAAGGTAGCGGTACCCGAGCTGTCCTTGGAGAGTCTGTACCTGGCAGTTACGTTAGCCAAGGTCTGTGTCATGCTGGAAGATCTCATGTACCGTCCGGGGCAGCATGGTTGCAGCCAGGAGGGCACGGTGTTGCTGGAGCGGCGTAGAGTGAGCCATGGTGGATGATTTCGAAAGATGGCGATGATATTTGGGTGTGTTGTTGATGACTTTGCGGCTGTCGTAGAGGTATGGGAGGTGGAAGCTGAGTCTTTATCTATTGTCAGAGCCACGGATATCAGAATGAACTTCAAGGCCCCTGTCACGCCTCAAGCCACGGCTCGCCTGCCCCACTGCTCTTGGAGGACCGCATATCTTGATTCGCGGGAATCGCACCCAACGTCCTTGACCGTTTCCTGTGATGAAGTCTGCTCGTAGGACCCCGGCCGTTCGCAGCCGCGCCACTGCGATGGGCGAACGCCATAGCTAGCTTTGAGGCCAGGTACAGATCAAAGAAGAGTGGCTCAAAATCGAGGCTGGTGGGACTATGGTTTCCAACGCCGCTGGAGATTACGGCCAGGAGGACGGCCGTTCTTCGGTCAAAATCACGTGACCAGGCCGCCCTCGAAACACTTCAACGTTGCGGGTCTCAGAGCGCGACCACAACGCCAAATTCGATCCTTCAGTCTCACAGTTATTATCAAATTCCTCACGTATGGTTCAGAGGTGACTCAATCTTCAATGAAGGCATGGAAACCCTATTTCATGTAGGTCGTATTGGCGACTGCGAAGCCATAGGGAAAAGAAATCACCCATTCAGCCAGCCAACCACTACGCAGATACCGAAAATAAAACCCCATCCATATCCACCTGTACGCCTAGTAAAAGATCCGAAGCTCGCCTGGCACGCTCGTCCATCGCCCTAATCTACCTTCACCTTGCCCCGATGTAGACGATCTGTCCTAGGCGCTCTGAATCTGGGCCTCGCGGGTCTCCATGAAATCTTCGTCGGGCTTCCGGGAGAGGCGTCGTAGACGCTTCCGAGCTCCATTGTCGAGGGAGCCTCCCTGCTGCTGGGTCTTCGAGCGGAGCATATAACCCCAAGCATTTGAAGAGAGCGCCAGCGTAGCCTTACCAGTCGAGAGCTCTTGCTCGAAGAACGTATTTCTAATAGATCGAGGAAGCTGTTATTGAGGGCCACGGCGACCGCGGCGACATCCTGGCGTTCGGAGCACAGTGTGCCGCAAACCACTAGCGACGTGAGTCCGGTTGGCTCACGGAGCGCACTGAAACCTTCGAAGGCGGTGTCGACGTCGAGAGTCCCGGGTAGGAAGAAGTTGGCATGTCGGAGTGACTTCCACACACGTAAGGACTTTGTTCTATTCTCATCCAACTTTGTGTTGCAGTCGCTCTCTTTCTCTTGGTCTGCTTGATCGCGGGAGCCGCCTTGGGGGTTCGAGGCTTGGGAGTTGCAGACCACGATTCTTTGAAAGCTCTTCGATTAAGCGCTGCGGCTTTTGCGCGTTGCGCTTGGGGCGATCCGCCATGGGGTTGCGATGCTAAGGTTCTGGTGCGGACGAGTCGATATTGCTGGCAACAAGCCAAAGAAGTGGGTCCTGAGACGGGAATGGTAGTCGGATGCTGGACAGAACGTCAGTTCGAGCAGGCGCTTGAGAACTGATTTAGCTGACCTTTACTTTGTTGTCTCCTCTCTTGGCCTCAATGACCCGCTCGATGTAACCCTTGGCGTTCGGGGAGGTGTGAGCAAGGCAATCAGCCGTCTGTGTTGTAGCTGGTAGAAGTAGTAACAGAACTAATAAATGGAAGATGTAGACTGCAGCTGTAATGTCCTTGTCGAAACGCTCACTTCACTCTGTTGCGGCCCGAGCCCAAACCTCCGCCCGCTCGGCAAGGTCAGGTGGACGATAGCGTCACGCCATACAACCACAAATGCAGTGGTGCTGTTCGGCTTAGCCCCGGTATCCACTCGTCACACCCGCGATGTCTTGGGTTGGAGTGAAGGCCTGGCTTAAGCGCAGGCTCGAGGACAAGACCTGACGAAGCGCTTGGCCGCGGCGGGTGACTGCTATGGCTCTGGTACACTTTTTGAGGTTCCGCGTCTCTCATGAGGTAAGTTGGGGAAAATCTGACATGCATTGTCGGATCTTCCCCAAGAACTACACTGCTCAGATGGGGAATCATGCAAGTCCTTCATCAAAATCTAATTTACAGCGCAGGTTTTAGACATCTCACATAAAGACACCACAGCATGTCTCCGGTAACTTTAACTAAATCTATCGTACCTCAGATTTAAACACAAATTACATCAATTCGCACAGTCTCAAATGCTATGATTTCACAAGACAATACATGAGATTTCTGCACAATTGAAGACCGTGTTCGAAGCCTGCTGACGATGTGATAATTTTGTGTTCAAGGGGAGAGAATCGCAGTAGAAAGGAAGCTACACATTTGCCGCATTTGGAATCATCGAGAACAATAAGCATGTGAAGGTGGGGTAGCACGCGTTCCATGGTTGCGCGAGAACAATAAGTAATTTAGTACAAGTACATATTTTATATTATTTTGACAGCTCCTAACCTCACCATTGGTACGGTGGCTGAGGGGGCCCTCTCTTTAAAAAACAGCTAATCCAACTTCAGGTCTCACCAGGACAACCCGGGTTCGACTCCCGGTTAGAGAAACCTACCACCTATTATCCGCAAGGAGAAAGGAGGAAAGGTGGCTACGCCCTTCGGGGTGGTGTTTTGCACTTTTTTTGGTCTTTGAGTCTATAAGGCTAGATGCTCTTCATGGCCCATAGGCTAGATCTACCACGGTAGCTGAGTTGTTGGAAGGTTGATTTTTGAAGTTGTTGTGGTGTCGTGCTGGCTATCTCGAGTGGGTGGAACGTGCGCCATGCTCAAAACAGAGCTCGATGAACGTCAAAGTGCCCGCACCGGCGTAGCTCCAAACCTCTTCACGACACCGACAATTTCTCCTCCCACATCAGCATTTATCCACGGCCCGCTGCCTCCTGTGCCCTCATTGTCGCTGCCTGTGTCCTGCGCGCGGTCTTTCTTCCTCTCGACGTCGGTCACCGCACCCTTCTCGTCTTCCCCGACTGCCGCCTTCGCCGCACCAACACAACTTCCAGCATCGAAGATGCCTCGTGGTGTACGTCTCTCCACACTGTGGCGGCAGCCCCAGCCGCTGAAGACTTTCATATCTTAACAAGCTTCATAGAACAGCCCCTGCATCTACAACTACTACGGCATGTGCACGCTCCGCGGCTCCTTTCTCCCGGAGGTGGGCTTCAAATCTACACTCCACGTCTCTTCCAGTCACTGCTAATAGCATTTCAGCATCTGACGTTCGACAAGTTCACCCACCGCTTCCCGTACACCGGCTCCGCCGATACTCTCTACGACCACATGTACCGGCATCACGAGTGATACCTCTCTGGAGGCATCTACGGCGCTGCCCTCTATGCCTAGTTGATCCCCTGGGACCACGAACATCTGCTGGAGAACGTGATTGTTCTGGAAACCGCCCGCCCCCAGCGTCGTCACGTTTGCGAGGCGCTGCTTCACAATTTCGTCCACTGTATCAACCTCCGGAGCATCACGTTCGATGTGGACCGGAACTCCTACAACATGCGGCTTGATGCGCAGATTCGGAGGATGCGGGAGGACGTGGAGTTGACTGTGGGGGAGGACAGCGACGAAGATGAGGAGTGAGTGTTGGGGAGATTCGGGAGTGGTCTGTGGGGGGAGCTGAGTGTTTTCCTGCGTGGGAATTGGGTGTATTTGTACTTCGGTTTGGGGTAGAGGAATGAGATTGCAAGAACCCCAGAGACTACGACGATAATTGACTTATGATGCTGAGGTCTCCGCACTGTGAATTGGCTAATTGGGTTGCCCTTAGCCACTCGTTGCATTGGCGAAGGTGTCAATTGTCGCAGAGAGTAATTTGACAATCATTAATTGATTGCATGCTACGTATATGATATAGTTGGAGGTAGCTGAATGAGTACAGTGAGAATTGATCAAAGGTAAAGTTGAACTTGTCCTATTTTAATATAATCGTCCAGGCCAGCGATTCTTATCCCATAGTTGACCATTGTGTCCCTGATAGTCTCATTCCCGGCCCAGTCCCAAATGCCTCCGCTCGCTCGACACCGCCGTGAGGAGTGCCCTGGCTAGGAGGTGCCAGAGTGGTCAAAAGGTAATCTGATTCGTGATGTATCAACTCTTTCCTCTTACTCACAGTCTGTAGCACCCATCAGCGACAGAGTGGGGAACAATCAACTTAAGTTGATAGATTGATTGATTTGATTTGGTTCAACCAAATCAATCAATCAATCCGAAGAGGTGGATTTTATCAATCAAATCAACTTCAAGGCATCAAATTGATTGATTTGATTGGTTTGATTGATTCCTATTTGCGGAGCGTAGATAGAGTATCCTATAGAGAGCCCACCTAGCAGAAGTGCTTACTAAGCAGTCTCCTAACCCTGATTTTCATCCTAACTCACATCAACGCGTCCAACACCATACCACCTCTGTACAATATCGCACCCAGCAATGAATCAGAACCTTCAGAACGTACAGCAGGAAGTTATCGCACGCGCAAATCGAAAGAAACCTCCCCGTAAGGTTAATTCTATGCGCGCCGAAGTCAACACGAATGAACACGTCGAAACACCTGCCACGAACGACGACGACGTTGACAACGACAACCTATATGAGAACCTCAATTGGCTACGGGTACCGCATCTGCAAAGAAGGCCTTACAAAACCTTACAACCGTCAAAAGCAAGCTGGATTTACGCGTACGGTTGGCCTGTTTACCATCGAAAGCAGCGCCAGAAGTTCTGGCTCTGCAAGTACTGCCACATACACAGAATACCTAGCGGCGAGTTCAACGTTGAGAAGGCTACTTCGTCAGCTATGGCTCACCTAGGGCGGCAACAGCGTGGCCACGGCGTTGATAAAGATGGCCAGATCAACTTCTCTACTCCAAACCAGACGTCAGTGTTGGCGACAATGCAGTTCCAGGGCATTAATGTTCCACAGGACGTGGCCAACAAGCTGGCGGACAGCTTCAATCGGGCGAAGTTTCTACGCGCTGTT